TTCCTCACTTACTGTATTGATAGTTATTTTTTAGTAAAAGCTAAAATCAAAGAATTATAAAGGCGAATTCATTTTGATACGTAAGATCGGTTATCATCACTCCCTAAAGATTCATCAAGACCCAATAAGAATCCCACAACCAACCCCTAATCCTAAGGCCTACAGGAAGAGAACACATGATGAAATCTGTCAGAGCCAACCCGACAGGCATTAGCCAGGATCAATTCAGTCGTCAGGATCACATTCAGAGGGTGAGGACGGAGGAAAAGGAGTTGAAAAAGGAAAATTACGGATCGAAGCCAGGAAGAATATCTAGACCATACTACAATTAAAGGACAAATCCGAGAGTCCGTCTTGGATGAAAGGCAACAAGAAATGAGCTAAGATAGGCTAAATATGAGACAGAGCTATATGCACTAAGCCATAGGGTCTGACAGCTAAAAACTGAGAAATAAAAGGGGTTACATATACCACCTACACACGAAAGTGAGTCAAGTGAGAGAGCTAAACAAAACTACACCAACCACGTTATAAAAGCCCAAGTAGAAAAAAATTAGGGCATAAAAGCAGATAAAGGAACCGTAGGGGACCAAATCTAGAAGTAGAGCAGCCAAGTGGGCACGGGAGCCTTAAGCAGAAGAATTATGACAACCACTAAAAGGAGCCAAGAGCCGACGAAAAAAACGCACGAGACAAAGCCTAGGAAGCAAAGTATGGACACGGAGGCTTACCACGTGTATACTAAATGGTGACGCGTAGATATTAGGGGAGGAACGGTACATTAACAACAAGGAAGGACCAAAAGAGAAGAATCATGGTCACAACTACAAAATACAAACTAGCACTGAACCATACCGACTAAATAATAGAGGGCCAACTCTAAACTGCAGGTCAGAGACTTTACCCACTCCCCAATAGGACCAAGGCCAAGCGGCCTATGAAATCTCATCACCAAAAACGAATCTGAAAGAATAGAGGAAGACACCAAGTCCCTGAACTCAACCTGCCAAAAACTAAGGCTTCCTCCATGCCCACTAGACAATAAATGCAAGAAAATGATCCCTAAACAATGGAGCCTTTAACCAGATCCCTAAAAAATAAGAGCTAACAGCTAAAGCCGAGACAAGATCTAGGACCCAAAGTGCACCTCCTTGATCAATAGACAGGAAGAATAAAGAAGCACAAACTAGAACGGACAGGTAGCACATGACAGCAAACTCAAGAAACTAAGGCAGGACCCACCCTCCTACAACCTCAACCAAGCCTAACTCCCCACTGAGCAAAAAGAAACCCCCCCCAAAACTCCAAATCAAAACAGATGAACAATAAGGAGCAGAAAATAATCGATAGCAGGAAACGACAAAACCCTAGCGAAGGGTCTATAGAGTCTAGATCCCTGACGGCGCCACAGTAACAACTGGTGACGCACCCCTGGATGTAGCCCTTACGGCTAGATTTTTGAGTTGCCAAAGATAAAGATTAGGCACAGAACTCCCAAAGAACCAAGCGGCCATCCGGGTTGAGACCAACCAAAATACACTTTAGCCAAAAGGAGAGATACAGAGGATGAATCAAAAACCACTACATAATTCCTAAGAGTAACCCGACAATCCACAATCCTAAAAAGCAAGAGGGACCCCAAAATCCCAACTGGGATGAGCATTAAGGACTGACCCCGAAACCTACGGCCAACCGACGTCACAGATATCACCTCCCCCAAAATCCAAGCAATATAGGAGGGGAGGAACTTCTCCCAATCCTGGACCGTAACCACTAGGAAATACCCCCTGAAATGTGAATCTTAGAACCTGGAACCAGAAAGATAAAACAATCATCAGTAACCAATAACTCGTGAAAAGTGAAGAACGAGCAATGAGAACTAATCCCTAAACCATGATCCCGTCAACGATGAAGTCAAGCAGAGCCCTGTTGAATTCCGAAGACTAACAGATGAAGCAGAAACCCTGAGACATAAACATGAAACCTAACCAGTAGCACATAGAGAGTGACACTCAGAAATAATCCCTAGAGCTTAAAAATAACAACTGGAAACCCCCCCTACCACCTGAAGAATAGTCCATGACTCCTAGAAACTATTTCGAGACAGTACCCCCTGAGCATTCAAGGCCAGGGCTGGTCAGGAATCCCTAACGCCTAACCGATAAACCCTAGGACCTAGAAACTGACGCCTAAACCATAAAAGCTAAACCGTACAGCCTGATCCTTCGACCTGACCGTACCCCTACCCCATGAACGATAAACATAATCGCTGATCCCTACAGCCTCACCCCTGAACGCAATGCCATGGACGATAACACGTAAAGACTGAGAAATAAAACGTAAATCCTAAGCCCTGACCCAGAAACACTGAGCCCTGGACCATAAACCCTGAACCATGAACAATAAACCCCGAAAACTAACAACATAACCGTAACCCCTGGATGGTCAAAACTCAACCTACACCCTCACCCCTGAAACCTAAAGCTGAACCCTAACCCCTGAGCAATAAAACTAACCCGTGATCCCTAAAATGTCGAAGCCTAAACCTAAACCTGGACCCTGAACCCTAAACCCTAACCCCTGAACCGTAAGAATTAGACCCTAAGCCCTAAACCATAAACCTAAGGGAAGAACGTGAACCCTGAACCAAAAACCGAAAACCTACACCTAAAGATGGAAACTGGACCCTACACCCTGAGGCATGACACCTGACACCTGAGCCTAACAACTAAACGCTAAGCCTAAACCCTGAACCCGGAGACCAAGCCATGAAACATAAGCAGAAACCCTAAACCAACCCTGAACCCTAAACCCTGACCAATGATGCATGACAACTGATCTCTGAACCTTGAATCCTAAAGCTACCTCCAAACCCCTAGACTTGAACTCTAGACACTAGACCTAACCCCCTAAACTCTGAAACCCTAAACCTGAACCCTGAACCCTGAACCTAAACCTGGAACCTAGACCCTGAACCCTGAACCTAAACCTGGCCCCTAAACCCTGAACCCTAAACCCTAAAACCTAGAGGCCCCAACACTGAACCTGAACCTTGACCCCTGAACCCTAAACCTAAAAGCTAAACCTAAACTCTAACCCTTAACCCCTGAACCGTAACTCTCCCTCCGAAGCGCCATGGTCCACCATCTCCAGCAAATGCCCTGGTGTTGGTTGTGTTCGGGTCCTTGGGGGCTCAATCTTCCCCGGAAGAATCCAAGCTCCCTAACGGTACGTCTAACCTATTACCTTATGCCTTTATGGTTCTCAGCCCGTGGCTTGGGCAAATAACGGGGGAGTGGGAGGGGTCACATTCTTAGTTAATAACAAATATCCTCTAAACTCTCATGCCCATTGTAACTAATCCCCTCAACTGGATGTGATTCCTCCTGTCATGTTCCGCCTCTTATTAGTCCTTGATCGGCGGGGAAGAAGCCCACCCAGGAATGGACGAGAATTCTGGCTTTATGGAGTCGAGGCTGTCTCTTTACCCACTTTCCTGACTCCTTTTGGAATGGAGGTTACTTTAGAAACCCCACGAGATGGCTGTACGCCTCATCCCCTTCCTATGCCGTTTCGTGTTTCGTTGTTTGGGAATCGCTAGCAACTGCTTTGGTCTCATCCTTAAGAACTTGGTCTTGAGGTTCACAACCCCCTTCTTGTCTGGAAGCTTTTTATCCCTTGGCCTGTTCGTTCTGTTCAACATATCGGCCATAGAAATCATGCCTCCCCCCCTGACCTTGGAGCCGCTTCTCGGAAGCCTAGGATAGGATCTCCCTGACTAGTGGGTGGGGATGCACTCCTGCCCTCCTCTCTACTGCTTCTCATTGTCCTTAGAACCCTTTCCTGATGCCTCAGGAACCCTGACGCTTCTGGTTCATCTTCTGCCCCGCCATTGAGACGATCCTGGTACGCCCGCCCTAGAGTTCCTAGGCTTCTGTTGGTTATTTTACGCTCTTGAATTTCAAGGAACTCTTCTGCCGCTTCCCCTAAGGCCTAATAGACACTGCCGTTGGATGCTACACTATTACGGAAAGTAAGGCGGCGGGGGGGCGTTTGACTTTACTGGTGACTTCTTATCTCGTATACTCGCGGGGCCTTGGGCCTGTTATGGTTGAGCTGGACGATTTCTCCTCGTTGCTTCACCTCTCACTCCTATTAGTAATTGACTACTTCATGTAATCTTCCCCTTTGCTTCATGGTCCCAATCTCGTCCGTGTAGTTTAAAGGGGGTTGAGAGGCCCCCTACGGGATCATTGAATGATATCCTACCCTGCCTTCTGATGAGTGCTCTGGTCTGGCTATTGGTCTCTTACTTCGTCTGCCATATATACGATAAAGTCCATACCCCGAAGTCACGAACATTAAACTCACTCCGATGACTATTCCCAGAATTTTCCCCACCCCTTTCTGTTCCGTCTCTGAGAATTCCTCTATTTGATTTGTGTTGGGACTGTCTTTCACCGTCAGCTCCTCCTCCGTCTGTTGGATGTTTGATCCGATGGAATGAGTTTCAGAATCCAAGCTTTCGCTGACCTGACTCTCTCCAGTTCCGCCTAAGACTCCAATTCCTCCGGTGTCCTCAGACAAGGAGTTCATGTTCGTTCCGTCTATGCTTTTCTCGCTGGGGATCTCGGGAGTTTGTTGTAGGCTGAAGTCGCCATCTGACCCTTCCTCCGTTCTGTCGTTTCCTGCTGGGGATTCAACTGCTGCCTGGGAGGAAGGTGCCTGCACCTCTTGCTTTTGCTGCACTACCGTCGGCACCGCTCGGGAGGAGGGGGAGGGGGCGCTGGTTAACTCGTTTAAGGCGGCGTCCTTGTTCAGTCCGAGTTGGGGTTGAGCTTGGGGTTTGGGTTCCTTGGTGTTCTGATCGTCATAAGAAAATAATACGAGCTCCTCCCCCTGTCTTGAATTTCCCACTCTACATCTATTATATACTCCCTGCTTGGCTTCACAATAAAGACTCTGGCCTGGTCCTAACCTGAACGCATTCCCAAAGAATTCATCGAGTACCTGATATGGACACCCCGGACAAAGACTCTTTACTGCTGCTGCTACACTCAAAACTAAACTCACGAGTTGCGAGCCACAATCCTTAAAGTGTCCATCCACATCACACTCGGCTGACTTTTTGATGGTAACGGTCCAATTATCTTCACCCCTTGATATGGTTTTCACACTATTCTCTACCTGACTCCTCAGCCTTTTACATGGGTCCCATCCCCTGCCGGCTTGTTTTAAGATGTTCCTGTTCCCTTCCAAAAACCACGATAACACGCAACCAATCAGATATAACATCTTCTGGCAATCTGCTGAAGCAGCACACCGGATCGGACCCCTCGCTCCCATCAGACTTTGCCATAGTCTCGACTCTGCAAGTCCTAGAAGCTTCTCCTCGCTATTATCATTCTTCTTGTCTTGACTTCTTCTAAGACACCAATGTACTACGCTATCTATCAGGTCCTCCCACTCCAATACGCTGGTACCCTTGGACTGTATCTTCGTACCGCTCTCATACCTTGCCTTTTGATGGTGATAACTCTCTCCGCCCTTTAACTGGGTGGTCATCCATTGACGCACCCCTGCTTCGATCCTTTGGTTTGTCCGTTGTCCTTTATTGATCTGAAAGCAGAATCTCTCCTCGTTTGGGTTACAGGACCCCTGGGTCGCAGCTCTCGAGGGCCTGGGAGTCCAGTCCCACGCTAGGGTGTCGTTCATCCTTCTTTATATCGGTAAGCTCTGTTCCTCTTCCGGCTCGTTCAATCCTGATGAGTGGCCTCGAAGAGTCTTCGGCCTCCATACCTCATCCGGGTTCCTTTTTTCTACCTTCAATATGGGAATCCGTTCTCCCTTCCTCTGTCTTCGCTCCTTCGGTCTCTTCTTCCCCCTTGACCAGCCCCTGACTTCCCTGTTGGCTTGGATGTTCGAAATGCCTTTTGGATGAATTACTCCTGTCTCGCTCCACGATTCTCTCCTCTCTCTCCACCAGATCTCGGGCCGCCTCACCCTTGGTTGTCGCCTCCTGCCCTTCTTACCTGATGCAGCTCCTCACGAAAACCTTCATTGTTTTGGGTTTTCTAATAAATACGTGGCGCGTGGGTCGCTAGCTCCGGCTTTGATTGTTTTAGCCGGTTTCTACGATCTTCCTATGACTCCTCTTTTCTCGATTGGTGTCGGGACATTATGCCTTTTAGCCAATGCCTTCGCTTTTCCCTAGCTTCTCCTTCTCAGCCCGCGGAAAGTACCTTACACCATGCACTTGACTAGTTCAGATTCCTCTGTGCCTGCCTCCTCCTGAGTTTCTGTCGCTCCTCAGCTCAGGGGACGCTCCTTGCTCCCTCCGTCAGGTTTGTCTCCTCTTCTAGGCGTCCCGTGATTATCCTTTTCACTCCTGCGAAGATGAATTTGTTGCTTTACCCTTCCATCTCTATCCCTATTTGATCTATATCTTGCCCTGTTGCCCTGTTTCTAGAGCTGGGGAGGTGTGGACGCGTTTCTTCCTGTTTGCCACGGATTTGGTCCCTCCTGCAGTCCTTGTATCTAGACAGTAACCTCTTCTTACGATTACATCCCCGTCGCTATTCTCTTGCCTGATAGTTCGATCTGGGGTTCTGGGGCTCGATGCCCGTTGGTTTCCTTGGGCCCGATCCTTGAGCCCTCTTTAGACCTGCTCCTCTACTGTCTTTAGATTTCTGGGGGGGGCCTCCTAACCCTATTTCTTCGGTTGGAGGAGCTTCGTGCTTTCCCTCTCGTCTTCGATTGACTCTGATGTCCCTTTGGATCTTCCTCATCAAGTCTTCTTATGTCTCGCTCCCCTCTCTTGACTCTTGTCCTCTCTGCGATGCTTGCCTCTTCAAAATCGTTTCCGGGCCCCCTCACATCCTGCCAATCTACGCCCTCCTGGACCCTTAGTTGTGAGACTCCTTATCTCTTTACCATAATATCTCCGATTTCTTGAAGATCCTGCCTTTAACCTGCTTTTGGGGGAGGGCAACCCTTTCCCCCTTCTACGGCCCTGGTCACAGTTTCCTCCTGGCTTCTGCCTCTGCTTCTGCCCCTTGTGGTTTTTACCCGTCCTTAGATCCGTCGCCTCCCTTGGCTGTCGAGTCCTACTGCCTCCTCGGGTCTTCTTTTAGGCGATAGTGGCTTGATTTTATGAATGTTGCTTTTGTTACTTTTGCTTAGTCCTTGGCTGTTTGTATTGCTGTTGTCGGTTCTTCAAACACTTATTGATCCTTCGCCTCCTTCGGGGAGAATCACTTATTGCTCCTCTTGTCGTAGTCGATTTCTGGTGGGTCCTGGACTTGCCTTTGTCTATATCACGATGAAGATCCGATCCACCTTCCTCCTTCGGATCTGTCGAATTTTATGTTCTATCCTTTTCCCTTTATTCTGTCCCGCCAGTCCCTTGCCTGTAGTCCACAGCTCTTTCCTAGAGTTTCCGGTAACTTTGGCTTGTGCTCAGTTACGGTTGCCCTACCTCCCTTCCTTAAGGTTTGGTCCCTCACGGTCGAACCTCGTCTATCCTTGGGTTTTCTTGTTCAAGGATGAGAAACTATTGACTCGCCTTCACCGTACCTTTACGCCCTAGGGCTCATCTGCCCCGTTCGTCCTGTTAGGGGGTTTTGGGTGCTTCACGTTCCGAATCTGTTCTCCTCCGGGTTAGTAGCCATTCCGGCCCTGATGATTTGTTTTTTTTGGGAGGGTGGTCTGTTTCTTTACATCAGACTACATTTAGTCCGGGCGACTCCCTAGTCTTGCCTCGGTCTTCGCGTACCTGTGATCTTCCAGGAAGGGTTGTTTGTCGTCCTCGTGGATGTTGTTAGGACCTGGGTCCGACTTGTGATTCAATTCCTCGGCTTCTGATCGGGTCATAAAGGTAGGTCTGCATAGCAAAGCGTCTCTGGCCTATCCACCCTGCTTCCATATCCCCTAGCCGAGGTGTGACTTCCTGATGTCGGGATCGATTGGGGCTGTTTTGCTGTCGGGTCCGTCAGAATTTACTCTTCCTTCTCCCTGTAGCCTTTCTTCCCACGGTGATTGATTTATGCAGAATATTTTCCTTCCTGATGTTGTCTCTTTGGCCTGACTTGCAGTTTCTCCTCGAAGGTATTTAATTGAAGGAATCAAGTTGCTTTAGTCAAATGTTACCCTGAATGCCTAGATCTTCATCTGGGGGGCGGCTTAATCGAGTTCTCAGGTTGTCGCAGTGACTTCCTACGATTTGATATTGACGGCTTGACAGGACTTGGGTTGATTTACTAGTCCTTGCTGGCTCGTCAGAAATGCTGGGTTGTTAATGATTCATATCTTATCTGTTTTCGCGTCTGTCTCTATGACCTCCTTAATGTCCTTCCACGTAATGCTGGAAGACTGTCTTCTCACATCCTTTTCGGGAGAGAGGGTTGTGTTCCGGGGGTTATGGGTTCTCCCTCCTCTTGACCTAACTGATTTGTAATCTGATATTTCGATTGCTTGGGGATTTCTGGAACCAGTTGGTCTTCTGTCCTGACATCTTTCCATCTATATACGTGGTTTCTGATGGGGAGTGGGAGTGCTAATGATTCCCATTGGCTCTTTTGACGCCTGTTGTGGAGGAGAAGGTACTGGTCTCTTTCATTTGGGCGGGTGATCTGCGTTAGAAGCTTTTCCTCGTGTTGGGCAGGGATGGAGAGATTTGGATGCTGCTTATCTAAGTGCTAGGAAGGAATGTATCATCTTTTTAGTGGACTTGGTCAGCTGTGGCTACTTTTATAAAGCCTTTGGGTTTTTGGAGGATTCTTGGGTATTCTACTGGGGAGAAGTCTTCTGTTTCTTGTGGATTTTTATTCCTTGAATTCCTTTCTTTGATTTCTTTGATGTGGATACTCTCACGTCGGCTGCCCCTTCATAGCCTTAAGTCAGAAGTCCCTTGTGAGATGCTCTCTCTGCTCCTCCGAATCCTGGCCCTGTAGTTAGAGGTTCTTGGGTGGAGTCGTTTGCTTATTGAGCTGATTTATGTTAACTCCTTTATTGTTCCTCCAAAGGTTCCTCCTGCTATTGACCTCTTTAAGACTTTGAGGCAGCTTGAAGCTCCTAATCTATGTCTTCCAACTGCTTAACCTTCACCTTCTTAGTTTTCGCTGTTATGGTCTGGAGTCAATCTCGATCTGGCTGTTGGGTGAAGGCTAAAGAGCTTGCGGTTGTGGCGGGTTTGGGATGGATTTTGGTAGTTGCGAGATCCAGTTTGATTGGCATTGAGGAGGAATATGCTATTGCTTTCTTATAGATCTCTCAGAATCTTTATTAGTTATTTCATTTCTCTTAGTCATGCTGCTTTGGGTCGTTGACAGTTTAGGTATGTTAAGCTAGAGATATATTTTCTCCCTGTTTTTTCTAGGGTTTGTCTAAAGGGAGGTTCCTTTGTTCTTAAACTGCTGCTGTTGTGATGTAATTTGATGTTTGATTTACCTGTTGGGGGGGGGGGTTGGTTGGAACTTTCCTGTTTGGCTCAATATTCTTGCCCTTTTAGCTCATCATTTCATCTTGAGTGCTGTTTGGTCAGGTGAGATAGTTGACTTGTGTCCTCGCACTCTCCTTCGATACTGGACTAAATTTTAGTGTTTTTTTTAGATGATGACTTGGGTATCTTTTTGTCAGGTCGCTGTTTTTTTTTGGCTGGGATTTTTTTCCATCCTCTTTGTCTTCTCTCATTTAAAGTCGCAGGGGCGTCTTGTCTCCTTGGATTCTGTTATCACGTGGGAGAGAGTCCAACTTACTGGGCTGGGGCCCCTTGCTCTGCCTATGACCTCTTATGTTGGTTTTCCTTCTTATGATCCAGTCGGCCTTCATTCATAAGTGTCTGGTGGTTCCTTTGCTTATGTCTTCTGGGGATTTCCCTGTATTAGTCAGTGTTGGTTTATGGACTCTTAGTATGATTGGAGTGGTTATTCGTTTTACGCCTCCTGCTGTGGTCGTGTGGCGTGTCCCTTTGGCTCCGATTTAGGCGTTCCTCTGGATCATAGGCAGATTCTTTCCCTTCCGCTTGATTTACGAGAGATCTTTGCGATCCATGGGAAAATATATGCTGCAGGAGATGGTTCCCTGGGAGCAGTTTTACCATTACGAGTCCTAATTTCGGGTTTTGCGAGGTGTCCTTTGAATCTAGTTAAATGCATTGTTTTGATTATCCTTGTGGGAAGTTGTGAGGTTGATTTCGCGACTCATAAGACCAGAGAAAAGAAAATGATCATCTTAATTTAGGTTGACTTCGTTGAAAGACATAATTCGTTTTGGCGTCTCAGGTTAAGTGAGATATTAACCCCTATTTATTATTCCTTCTTGGGGACTTTTTTTTTATTTTCTGTCTCTTATGCTTCAACTAGGTTTTGTGATTCTTATAGTTCATTTTTAGGTTTCGTTTATTATATAGTGATCGGCTACTAACACCAGATTGGGAGTTGTCGATTATGATTGTCTGTTGTTGCTCCTTTAGAATTACTCACACAGAGAGAAAATATTCTTTTTGTAGTAGATAGATTCTAAGGCTTGGGAGGAGGGAGAAAGTTTTCTATATTTCAGAGAGGGTGTGACCATTTCCAGATTCCAGGATTCAATGGTTGCCCCTCTATAAGGCTTATTGTGGGAGAAATAGATTTGTCAGTTTTCCTATTTGTGACGAAGAGGACTTTGAAGGATTTTTTGCTCTCATCCCTTTAAAGAGAGTTTTCGGCTTGGTAGAAATGATTAAACCAATTTGCTCGTTTTCATACTCATCTCGATCTCCGTCTTTAGAAATATTATATATAGTTTTAGTCTTAGGAGTTAAGTCAGTCGCTTGTTTTGTCTACTTCATCGCCTTTTCATTGGTTTTTAACGCTTGTTGAAGGGGACGGCTTGTTTTTGATTTGGGGAGGAATTTGGGAGGGGGGTTTATTGGCTTTATCCATCCTGGAGATTCCTAACGTAAGTGTTCTTGCTAAAATATTACCTTTCTCTTTGACATTAGTCATTCATCTTAGTCAACATAAAGGCGAAAATCCTGCTTCGGATTGGGGGTTATTCATCTGGTAACCCTTCCTTTCCCTTTTTCGATATTTTTCTTAGGGGGGAGAAATAAGGTCGGTAGCTAAATATACAATAGGACGGGAGATCTGTAACTCGTTTTGGGTTTGGGGCTAAAGAGAATTAAAGATACGTTTTAGACAGTTTTCATTAATGGATAAACACTTATTCATTCCATTAGTTATGCTTTTTTTAAAGAAAACATAAAAGGAACAAGATTGTTCCTTTGAAAATCTCTCAATACTATGATTTCCTAAAGAAGGATTTCTTTTAAGTAATTATAGAGTGAGAATGAGTCCTGAAAACATGAATTGTATAGTGGCATACTGTTCTGCCGATTTTTTGTTATTGGAGTTTTGAATAGTTAGAAACAATGATCCGGAAGTTTCTTCCTTCTTGAGGGCATCCTCTGCCCTTCCCGGTTTTTTGTTTGAGATAGGAAAGGGCCTTAATATTAAACAGGGCTTGATCATCCTATGGTCAAGTTGTTGTTATAAGCAGGTCCATAAATTACAGACTTCATGGGATTCTATCAATTCCTGATAAATCACCATGATTAGATTTAGAATTTTTTGAATTTAGTTTTCCATCTGACCCTTTTGTTGTTAGATAGTCAACTGCAGTCATCCGGAGGGAAATTCTCCGTTAGTTTTCTTTTTGGATGATGTCTCCTTTGGGGGTGCAGCATGTTGGACAAGATTGTTAAAACATTGTTGTTTGACAGGTCCGTTAGACATGACTTATAAGGAGGTTATTGATATCTTATACCCATAGACTCCTTTTTTCAAATAAACATCGAAAAATAAGGTAGACCTGATACAGAGTAAGAACAAAATAAGTAATTTTGAGAGGCTCGTGATTACTCCTTTAAGAGATTTTTAGCTCATATATCCTTCTAGTAGAAACATATAAGAAGCGACAACGAGAATTTTAACTAAGCAGGAGCGAATAAGGAATCTCCTCTATTTAAGGCCAGGGGAGGTTTCTTTTTGGAGTCGATGGTTTCCAGATTGTTTGGTTGTTTTCCTTTCATACTCAGTTGAGCATTCATGAGTTAGAGTAGAATTGGATTCAGTGAGAAAACCCATAGTATCTTAATCTAATTCCTTGGGGAGAGATAATTATACTTACAAGATGGTTATTACTTCCTCGACGAGGGTCTTATATATATAACTTAGGTTGGATTGGTTATCTTAGGATGAACTGTCTTAAGATACCTTGAAGCGCTTTAATTCACTTCCAAATACATCGTAGTAGTTCTCAAACTCTTTAAATAGGTAGTAAAGAATATTTCTTAAAGAATTTCCACAAAGGCAAAAGTCTTAACTAAAACAGAAGCAGTTACATAAATCTATTAAGACATTATAGAATATAT